GGATTTTTCAGCCCAGGCTGGCTTTGAACTGAAATCTTTGTCACAAAAGCCCTTTATTATTTCCAATTAAAGCAACAAGGAGATCAAGTAGAATAAGTAGAGCTTACCTGGTCCTTATCAAGAACTGCCAACATATATTCTGAAATGACAAAACTCATTAGATGTGATGAGAATTTTAGCACAGATATGCCCAGTATTTTAGAACCATGTAGTCAGTAGAACACACAACACAAAACAAAAAAGACAAAACTCAAAGCCTAAAATTTTTTTAACTGTATTTTTTGTCTTTTTTTTTTTTTTTTGGTACTGGGGATGGAACCCAGGACATTGCACTTGCTAGGTAAGCGCTTTGCCACAGAGCTACATTCCAGCCCCTCAAAGCCTAAAATTTTGACAACAATGTTTAGAAATCTTTGCTAACAAAGCACATCACATGGTTGGGCCTCAGTTACCAGGGCCTGTGAAAAGAGCAACTTGTTAGCAAGGCACCTTAGAATAGATGGATGGAGTAGTAAACTTAGTGGAAGGTTAAGGATCAGCTGGGGCCAAACCCTTAACCTACCATGTGGCCAAGATGGCGAATTCAAGATGGCGAATTTCTGAAAGAATGCAAAGAAACCCTGAACAAACAGATCAAGCCTACATTGGCTAGCCTTTGAGAGGGAAGCTAGAGGGGGTCCCCGGGACCCAGCCTGCATCGCACTCTTCAGGACACAAGCCAAAATGGAGAAAAGAGAAAGGGAGAGATAGGGAAAGTTGGACATGAATGGCAGAGAGAGAGCAAAGAGAACCTCAAAGTAAGCAGACTTCTGACCATTTACCATTGCAGTGGTAAAAACCGTCTACATCTGAGAATGGCACAAAAATGAGGCGCTCTGGCTTTCCAGGGAGCGCAGGAGACATTTCAAAGGGGTTTCACAGCTCAGGCGTGATTCGCAGCACCCCATTAAGTATGTAGGAGAATCAGTCTGGTGAGTGAAGGAGAGCTGACCAGGCAGAAGCGGCGTCCCGGCTTCGCCCAGAGCCCTCTAGAGAGAAATGGCCAAACCCCAAAACCAAGCGTCCTTGGCTTCAGAGGTGACCAGCCTTTCAGCTAAAGGCCCTAGGAGCTCTCTGGAGTGGCGCCACGTCTGGACAGAGACTGAACAACAGAGAACCTTAGAGAGTAGTTTCACTCACCAGAGTAGAGAAGTGGTGTGGACGTGGATGTGAAGGCCAGCAATGGTATTGATGCGCTGTGTCTGCAGCAGACAGACCGATTTGCAAAAGGCCGTCAGAACTGTGGGTATTCCTCAGAGCAAAAAGGGAAAAACAAACAAAAAAGAAAAAAGAGGAAAAAAAACAGAGAGGAATCCCAGCTATCCTGACTTTAAACCCTTTATCCGAGTCACAGCACCATTTATGTTAGGTTTTTAAAAAGAGGTAGCCGAGTAAGAACAGCACCACGCACGTGGTATTCAGGTAAGGAGTAGGTTTATTCATTGTTCCAGCTGGCACCAGGCCATCTTGGTCCTCCACGCGGTGGGGAAAGGCTGGGAAAGAGAGCTGGGAGAGCTGGGAAAGAGAAGAGAGCTGGGAAAGAGAAGAGAGCTGGGAAAGAGAAGAGAAGGAAAGACCTGAGAAAGAGCCAGAAAAGAGCAGAGAGCTGGTGGTTTTTCACTTAACTTTCTGGTTCTAGTTTCTAAGTTTTCAATATTAATGTTTTTGGCTTTTCTGTCTCATCTCTCTACTCGGCCTCCCTGTATTACGCAGCCATCTGGGCAGTTGCCCTGGCCTGGCTCCCATTTTCTGGAGTCGTCAGTCTATGACCTGGCTTTGTGCTAATCCAGACCATTTCTACCCAAGGTCATTTCTAGAGACCCTGAAGGTGAACACAGAGAATCTGCCTCACATTGAAAATACAGGAAAGGTGAAAGGACTCATTCTCACCCTGAAAGGAGAGCCTGGTGGGCAGACCCAAGCATTTGACTTCTACTCCAGATATTTTGCTCCATGGTGGGATGTGGCTGAGGACCCCGTAACAGGTACTGTTTTCTTTGAGACCACAGGAGGGGGTTAAACATGAAAGAGGAGAAGCTGGGTATAGTGGTACATACTATAGTCCCTGCTAGGGCCAAGAATTGAAGACCAAACTGAGCAACATAGTGATAACCCCATCTTTAAAAAAGAAAGAAAAAACAAGGATAACAAATAACTCTCTAGAGGACCTTCACGTGGCCTTCAAGGTTGCTTTAGTTCTGAGATACTTATGTGTATGTGCTGGTACTAGAGCTTGAACTCAGGGCCTCACACTCTTACTTCAGCTTTTTTCACTCAAGACTGGTGATCTAGCACTTGAGCCATACCTCACTTCTGGATTTTTGCTGGTTAATTGGAGTTGAGAGTCTCAGGAACTTTCTGGCTGGCTTTGAACTTTGATCCACAGATCCCAGCCTTCTGAGTAGCTCATGCTTGCTTGAACTCCCTTTGTTTCTCTGTCTCCCTCCCTCCATTTCTTCACTGAAAAGCATTATAGCAGGGTCAGACAGCCTGGGTATGCAATCCTAACTTTCAGTTCTCCATCTTGATCAGATGACAAGTTAGCTTTATGCACACAGTACTCAGAAACTGGCTAATCACTGGAGCTGTTCTAGAAACTAAGCAACTAGCTCACTGAACCAAGGACACATCTTCCACCAGCCTTAAGAGAGGGATGAAATCAAAGGAATGCAATGCCTCCTCCTTTCATAGGTCATTGAAAACCATGGCTCTAGCAGCCCAGGGAGGAGGAAGGGTTGATGGGAAGCCTTCTGGGGGGCATGGACTCCAGCTCTTAAGGAGGTGGTGCAGAAGTTTTGTTAATGTACCATGCATCTACCTTAGCTCTTTCCATCTGGAGAGAGATAAATGCAAGCAAGACACAAAGCATCATGAGAATAATAGAAAAAGTTTATTGAAATGAATGAGAGCAGAGCAAGGGGCAGGCTGAGCAGGGTTCTATAGTCTAGTCTTAGTTTGACTGGGATTTTATTTGGGTCAGGGTGAGATGTGGGTGATTCTTTGTTTGGTGTGAATATTGATGGACAGGTTGACTGACAGGTACAGCTTCTGTACCAGAGGGGTATTTGCACAGGTTCCGCATAGAGGTGAAATAGTCTTGAACCACCCAGTTCCTGGGCATTATAGGCCAAAAAGGTCATTGTAGGATAATCATTTTTTTTGGGGGGGTCCAGTCATGGGGCCTGAACTTTGGGCCTGGGCGCTGTCCCTCAGCTCTTCAGCTCAAGGCTAGCACTCTACCACTTGAGCCACAGCGCCACTTCAGCTTTTTTCTTTTTGCTTAGGTGGTGCTGAGGAATCGAACCCAGGGCCTCAGGCATGCAAGGCAAGCACTCTACCACTGAGCCACCTTCCCAGCCCTGTGGATAATCATTCTTGTCCTCATGCATGCATACAAAGGGGAGGCCCTGCTTACCTAATGCCCTCCCAGGTATGGGCCTGAGCCTAGAGATTTGATCAGC